TGTTTTTTCATATTTGACAGCAATTGATCCACCCTCGTACAGCAAATCAAGCCGACGGCAACTCAGCTGGCCACTCTCACAACGTTCAGTCACAAACGCAAACTTTTTCCGTTTTCTTTGCTGCTAGCTCACAAAAAGCACCACAAACTTTTAAAAAGTCTTCAAAAAGTACTTCACCCTCTCCTAGAGACGTATGACGTGACATATTTTTAGAAGTGTGAGTATTAAATTGTATTTGGCGCCACGTTACGAGTGTGTTTCTCATATGTAATACTTAACGTGCCATATTCTAGATGGGTGAAGTATCTTTAACTGTAAACTAGCGATGAATGAACTCATCTTTGCTTGATATTCTGGGCTCTTATGTGTAAATAAGACAAGCCAGACAAACTCAGACAGAAGGGATGGCTCTTCATGCGTGTCTGTAGAAGTACAAATACAGTTTGATTTGTTTTCTAATCCGTCATGATGTTCGTTTTACTTTAAAAGATCAATTTCAGCTGGCCTGTTATTTCGTTTCTAGTCTCTTCGGTTGCCTTGAGGCACGTGTAACAAAGATTGTGCGTTGTTTTGTACCTCGCTGAAGACAACGAGTGAGTGACCTTTGTTTTCTCTGCCAAAGTTTGAATGTATCATGGAGAGATTTCCCTCACATTCCAGTACAAGGGACAACTTGCGTTGGTTTCTTCTTCTTTTTTTTTTTTCTTTTCCTTTAATATAAAGTCAAAACGATGTTTTCTACCTTACTACTGTAGTGTCAGACGATTGTTTGGTTGTGTCTTCTGGTTGTCAGTTGACTGTGGAAATGGTGTTTAGACTGATCAGTGGGCGCTACTGATGAATATTCTTGTTTTTTGAATATGTGTCTGGAAAGATCCAATCGAGCGAGTCGCCCCGCGGTTCGCACGTGGATTAGTGTTACGTGTAAACTAAATCTTCCAGAATCGTATTTGAGACTCATGTTGTGTTTCTATGATTTGTCCTCTGATGACCTCTGACCTTCTAGTGCTTTACTGTAACAATCTCAGCATATCTTCCATAGTCCATGCCTCTGCCCATTTGGCTTTGTAGATACAAGCTGCTACTCAGTAACGTAAATGTTGTGCATTGAAACAAGAACTCAAGTCTCACAAGAATACACATCATCAACCATTAGTCAAACTTGGGCTCTTACGCAATATAACTTTTTTACCTTATGCTTTTGTTGAAATAATAGCTCATGATTAAGGAAGGAAGACATTGCATGTGTGGAGATTTGGACTCAAGAGGACACTCAAGACTCAAGATGCCAAAACCATTTAAAGATGGTCTCTGCTGAAGAAACCTGTGGGTTTTAGTTCATGTTCACCATTATATTTGTTTCAAATGATTCTTCAATAATTCCTCTTCAGTGTCAAAATAAGTAAAAACTGACTCTCACAGACAGGGTGTTTTGTTTGTATGTTCTCAGTTTTTATGTGAAAATGTACAGTTCAACCTGGAGGAGAGCGACATGGTCATTGAACTAAATTATGTGATTTGGATATTCCTCTGTGAATGTCATACCTGTTTAAAGATGGTACCGTGTCTGATATTCTGACTGAAGTTCTGTAGGTCTAACTGTAGTTTCCTCCACCCCAACACCTGGTCCTCTGATACCTTCAGAGAAGGCAGCAACGTCGGCCTTGTTTAAATGGATAATGCCACCTTTCGTTCTTATCGATATTCTAGTAGTGTTATAGAGGTTCTTGAAAATAAAATGGAAAAATATGTTGTTGCAAATCAAATTGAAATAAACATTTATTGATGTACACAACATCATAAGACTTGTTTGTTTCTGTAATATGATGGGCTAGTAAGATGTCAACCAAGAGCAAACCTACAGTGCCAAGTACATAAAATAACTAAATGTGTTTTCCTATATGGATCAAAGAAGATTGCTTAGTTTCATATAAATGCGAATGTAGCGGGAGTAATAATCGGAAAGGGAACTCTAAATTCAGCTGATTACGCCACCCTGTCCAACAGGGAAAATAAATTATGAATTGGTCACCTACAAAGGGCACACAGGAATGTGGTTTCAAAGACAGAGGCCTGAGACGTGGATACCAAAGTACAAAAGCTTTATTTCAACAATAATAAAATACTAACCTTAAAAATCATTAAACGGTAGACCGGATTAGATTTACAAACATAGAATACACATGTAACAACAAAAACCGAGGCTTACCTATGGCGGTAAGCTAGTTTACTGAGCGCAAGGCTCCTATATTGCAAGAATCTAACCACCAGGTGCATAGGTCTCACTACACCAAACACAAACTCACAATAAGATTAAGCGTGAATACACTGCACTCCGTGTCAGAGTCCCACCACCGCACACAAGGGCCTACTACCGGCCTGCCTGGAAGCCTCGGTTCCTGCAATAGAAGACAAAATTAACCAAATAATCTCAAAACAAAAGAAATAATGCTAACAATTGTACAATGCTTA